GGGTTGGTAGCCCTCTTTTATTTCTGAAGGCAGCAAATCAAATTTCATCATTCCTCAGTAACCTGGCAGCTCGACGTGTAACTATGCAGTGTGTGCTGCCAACTCCTCAGTAGCTCCCTTTAGCCTTGGTATTAAATGATCGATCTAAAGGCCATGGGACAAAAACCCAGGCAGTCCATCTTTTTGACTCGCTCTCCTGTAAGATCTGGGGGTAGCCCTCTCGGTAACGGATGGTGCCTTTGTTATCTTGACCAGACTGCCCCCGGTGCAGAGGGATTGCTCACCCATTGCACCGGGCAGTTCCGGAGGGGGCCGTTGGGGAGGAAAGCTTCTTCCCTGCTGGGTGTATTGGTCTCTGCCCAGTGAAAGCTAGGGCCGTGGGCTAGCCCTGTCTTGCCCCGTTGAGCCTTTCCTGCTGCTAACACGGGAGCACACTGAGAATTTGCCATTCAGCAGGGGAAGCCCCCTCTGGGATCAGAGAGGCTTCTACCCCTTCGTGCTCCTGGAGGGCAGGGTTCTGACCAGTGTGCAAAGCCTGTGGCACTCCTACAGCAGGAAGCCATGGGGACAGCCCCCTTCCATCTGCAGAGCCCAGGTTGGTTGACTATGCCATCTGGGCATGCTGCAAGGCTTGTCTGCTCCCCCTCTGGGGGTGTACTGAGCAGGGAGAGTCGTATCTCTCTGGGGGTGGACGTCTCTTTATTTGCCTGTTATGTTGGTTTTGACATACCCACCATGAGTGGCTGTAGTCCAGTGAGAGCATCTCCAAGGCCTGTTGTTCCAGAGGCTTAGGTACTACCGTAATTGGCGTGAGGGAAGATATGTAACTGGTGGCATTAGATATGGCATGCTAAGAATGCTGTATAATAGAAGAAATACATAAGAACTAACCCGCTCTCTGATGGAACATCGAGTCTGGGAGCTGGTGGATCCTGATCTGTCCATGTGGCTTGTAACATGATCTAAGCACAGCTTGACTCAGCCAGCGGGGATTGGGCTGGAGAGGGGGTGTGAAGGGGAGAGGGAAAGAGCTAGGATGGGCATCACATGTTTGCTCTCCTTGATCATTGTCCAGCCCATAGAAAGTTATGTAAGATATGGAAAGGGGACCTGGTCCCTGCACGTGCCTGTAATTCACGAGGAGAACTGCACATGACATGAAACCTCCTTGTCACGTGCATTTCACACGCACCCCGAATTTTGGGGTCAAATGACTCAAAGCGAAGTGGTGTTGAAACAACTGTGTTTTCCCAGGTTGCAGGTGGCACCAAGTATTTACTGGTGACCTGGGGCCTGACTTCTGGGTTTGGTTTTGAGTGGAGATTGGGGCCCAGCCCCTTGACCTAACACTCTAGGGGTGTCGTGAGGGACATGGCATGGGGACAGGAGGCAGAATATGCCAAGTGTCTTTACTCCCTGGCCTAACTTGTGTCCTCCCCAGGGTGCTTCACCCCTTCCTTTTCAGGGATCACTAAACATCATGCATCAGGACCCTGCTTCTGTTCAGAACTGTGCTGCTCTGAAACACCCAAATATGGTTACCCAAAACACATGATGGAGTTTTAGATGCAGCTGTTGTCCTTGAAGTAACAGCACTTTTGCACAGGCCTGGGTCATCTCTTATTCAGCAAGACTGTTGTAAAAGCTCCACTTGGCAGGTGGGTGGCTTTTGATGGCATGTGCTAGCTCTTGAACTTTACAAGTATAGTCCGTG